TTATTATTTTAAAAAATATAAAGCTAGTTTCACCGGGTAGCCTGGCGGGTCTGCAGTGGAACGTCTGGATTCGAACCCAGGACCAGTTTGGGGTGGTCGCGTTAGTCTGTCTGTAGCGACAGGAAAGAGCAAGAGTCCGGCAGCACCTTGAAGACTAACAAAATTAGTGATCGATCAAGATTGGGTAGCCATGTTTGGTCTGTAGCGGTAGAAAAGAGCCAGAGTCTGGCAACCTTGAAGACTAACAACATTTGTGGCAGGGGAGGCGCTTTCCTGAGTCACGGCTCACCTTTGCCACAAATTGTGTTAGTCGTCGAGGTGCTACTGGACTCTTGCACATTTTGCAGAGATGAGCTTTCCAGAGTCAGAGAACCTTTGATCAGTTACAAGTAGGATTAGAGAGCCCTGCACCCTTTCCTATTTGCATCTGACGAAGGGCGCTTTGACTTTCCAAAGCTCCTACTCTGGGAAATCCAGTTGATCTCTAAGGCACTCTTGGATTCAAATCTAGGTGTTTAAATCGAGAGTCATCGCCTGTGTTTTCTCCCACGAGTGCTGGACAAAACGGATCGGGGAATTGAAAAGAACCAAATCTTGTGGGTTTCAGAAGCAGTCGCTGTTGCTGAAACGCAATATTGGGCCGGATGCCCCAAATCTGCAGATCCATCAAAACCTCCATGCGAGAACAGAATTGGCAGCCGTGCAGAAAAGCCAGGGTGGATTCTTCCTCCCTCTTTCTACTCAAGCCAAGACGGGTTACTCATCATTTGATGGAAGCCACAGTTGAAACTGGGAACCGGTTCCTTCTGTCCTGGCGGAGTCCCAGGACTCGGGGATACAGCTGTCGAGGGGTGCACCAAAGCGTGTGCAGACTGTCTTTCGCACTCGTGGCCTGTTGCGGGGAAAACCAGACAGGAGCCTTGGAACGCGAGCGATCTGTGGTGGCCGAGCGGTTGCTTTCTCAGATCTCGGAGGTATTTTTGCCGGGAGAAATCTTTTCAGCTGCAAGGCCCAGTGAGACCGGCTGGAGTAAGCCACCAGGTAGTCGAAGGGAAGGCAAAAACTCTTAGGAATGCCCTGAGTCTCCGTTCCTTTGGCACGGTGCTTCTACTAGCGAGGACCTGGCTTTGTAGGTGGGTTGTCCCACCTTTGTAAAATTAAAGAACCTGACTGAAGCTCAGGTATGGGGAAAAGTTGCCAGTGGCTTCCCACATGCCCTGAATTTTTTCGTGTACCACATCCTGTTTCTTGTGTTTACAGAAAAGAATCCACAATTCCTCTCCTCTAAAAAATTTCCCCGAGGAGAATAGATTTACAGGTGTGTTCTGCAATCTGCCTCCTCCTACGCTGCTTGTTAGATTGATTGGTCTGTCTGACGTCCCGGAAGCCTGAAGTGTTTTTCTGTTTGGTGGCGGGAGGTGCCCTCGAGTTGCGGTGAATTTGTGGCGACCCCGTAGATTTCTTTTTCAAGGCAAGAGAGGTGCAGAGGTTGTTTGCCGTTGCCGGTCTCGATGTAGCAGCCCTGGACGTCTTTGGTGGTGGTCTCCCGTCCAAGCGCTAACCTGGGCGAATGCTGCTTGGCTTCCAAGATCTGCTGTGTTCAGAATCAAGTGAGCCATCCGGGTCAAGGCAAGAATAGAGATGTGAAGGCCCGGAAAAATTCGGGGGGGAAATGGTTTTTTTCCGTTTTTTCCCTGAAGCCTTTTTGTTTTTTCCCGAAAAATTGAAAAAAGAAAAGAAAAAAAATTGATTATGGAACGTTTTATTTTAACATGACGAATAAAATATTTTAAGACAAATATTTTCCAAATAATTTCTAATATATATATCAGAAGAAAATAAAAAAGTTTCAGTTTTGTTTTTGCATGTGGGTGGGTATTCTGTTTGTAATAATTGTTTGGATACACTATATTTTTAATATGCTAGTTGTGATAATTTCATGCCAAGTAAAAATGTCCATAGTCATATTTTATGTTCCTAAAGTAACAGAATGACTTTCAATCTAGAAAAGACAAAAGAAATGCTAATGTAGCATTTTTTTCAATTTTTCCGAAAATTTCCGTTTTCCCCGGAAAAAAACTGGGGTTTTTTCCGAGCTTCAAAATTTCCGGAAATTTTACATCTCTAGGCAAGAAACAGATGGAGGTGGTTTGCCATTGTTTTTGCTTGGAACAGCAGTCAGTTTGGGGGTGGGGAGGTATTTGTGAATTTCCTGCGTTGTGCAGGGGATTGGACTAGATGACCTTGGAGGTCCCTTCCAGCTCTATGGTTCTCTGATTGTTTGCCCCCGCATAGCAGCCCTGGACTTCCTCGGTGGTCCCCCATCCAAGTACTAAGCTGGACCAATGCTCCCTCTAAGCTGTGGAGTCTCGCGAGCAAAAATTTCTACTTTGCGAGCTACTGCTGTTAAAGTTATGTGAGCGAGCGGTTTGGCGACTTCATAATTTAGGTTGCGCTGGATCCATCCTTCCTGAGTTAAGACAAAAGAAGAACAGAAGAGATTGGATTTATATCCTGCCCTTCAAACCCCCTTCCCTTCCCCACAACAGACACCCTGTGAGGTAGATGTGGCTGAGAGAGCTCTTTCGAGAACTGCTCCTGAGAGAACAGCTCTGAAAGGACTTGTGACTGACCCAAAGTCACGCCAGCAGCTGCGTGCGGTGGAGTGGGTGAATCAGACCCGGTTCTCCCAGATCAGAGTCCGTGCACTTAACCACGACACCAGGCTGGAGGCTAAAAAACTGTGAGCTAGCTCAGCTTAGAGGGAACACTGACCGAGACCAATGTTCCCTCTAAGCCGTGGAGTTTTGTAAGCAAAAATTCTACTTGGTGAGCTACTGGCATTAAAGTTGTGAGCGAGTGATTTGGCTACTGTGTGAATTAGTTTGCTCTGGAGCCCTCCTTCCTGAGCGAAGACAAAAATGTGTGAGCCAGAGGCTAATAAACTGAGCTAGCTCACACTAACTCAGCTTAGAGGGAACACTGAGGTCCGAGACCAACCCTGCTTAGTTTCTAAAATCTGATGAGGATCGGGCTAGCCTGGGCCGTCCGATTCAGGGTTGTTAGAGAATTGTTTAATTGAAAAAAATACGGGAGGGGGAATCAAAAAAAAAGTTAGCCTTAGTAGGTGGTTGCTGGAAGAGGTGAAATCGGTTTAAAGGGGAGGAATCCACAGTAAAATGCAGTTTACCCGTGGGCCGGCTTCATTCAGACGGGGCTCTGCTGACGCTTTAAAGAAAAGAAAACCTTGCCGTTTCAGGTTCAGCCTTTTGTGGACTTGCGTCCGTCTTGTGAGCTCTCTCCCGGCAGACATTTTATCTCGGATAAAATCTTGCTAGTCTGAGGAATGCCCAGAGACTCTGGTTAATCGGTTGCAGCGATGATTCAGGCCCAGATCTTTATCACGAACGCATCCTGTGGGTAAACCCTCCTGGCCGGAGGGAGGGAGGGGAGAGCTGTTTCAGGTATGTAGTACAGGTGTCTGGGGGGGAAATGCTTTCGAATCCCCACCTGGGTCGCGTTATAAATCCGTCAGCCTTCAGAGGTCGGCGGGTTTCTCCGAGGCTTCTGTTGGAGAGTTATTGGATTCATTGATTATGGGCGCGCCATTAGGCGTGCCTACTCTTGAACTCTGTGGGGCGTGTGGTTTACGTGAGCATGTTGTCTGTTGTCATTCCAAGGCGCCTCCGGTGTTTTGTCATCCGGTTATCAGTTTTCCCCCTCACCCTTTGGTGCATATAGATGTGAGCTCAGGTGTGGAACCGAGCACGTCTCTTAAGAACACAAGAAAGGCCCTGCTGGATCTGACCAAATGGTCCGTCTAGTCCGGCATCCTGTCTCACACAGGGGCCAACCATTCCCTCTAGAGGGAAAACCGCAGGGCATTGAAGTCAAGGTCTTCCCCTGAGAAGAACCTAAGAGCCCTGCTGGATCAGACCAATAGTCCATCTAGTCCAGCATTCTGTCTCACACAATGGCCAACCAGTTCCTCTGGATGGCCCAAAAAAGGGCTTAAAGGTCGAGGCCTTCATATATAAGAAGAGCCCTGCTGGATCAGGCCAGTGGTCCATCTAGTCCAGCATCCCATCTCACACAACAGGGCAGAGAGCTCCAGGCCTTCTCCTGATAAGAACACAAGAAGAGCCCTGCTGGATCAGACCAATGGTCCGTCTAGTCCAGCATCCCGTCTCACACAGGGGCCAAACAGTTCCTCTAGAGGTCCAACAAACAGGGCAGAGAGGCTGAGGCTTTCATAAGAACATCAGAAGACCCTTGCTAGATCAGGCCAGTGGTCCATCTAGTCCAGCCTCCTGTCTCACACAGGGGCCAGCCAGTTCCTCTAGAGGTCCAGCAAACAGGGCGGAGAGGCTGAGGCTTTCATAAGAACATCAGAAGACCCTTGCTAGATCAGGCCAGTGGTCCATCTAGTCCAGCCTCCTGTCTCACACAGGGGCCAGCCAGTTCCTCTAGAGGTCCAACAACAGGGCGGAGAGGCCAAGGCCTTCCCCTGGTGTTGCCTCCTGGACAAAGGTTGACTGCCTCTGCACGTAGAGATTCTCTTCAGTCGCCATAACTAGTAGTCACTGATAGACCTCCATGAATTTATCGAATTCTCTTGGAAAGCTGTTTGCTCCTGCGGCCATCACTACATCCT